GAGAGACACAGGCACAGATTTGAGGTAAAAATGCTGTTGGAGGTGTTGAGCTTTTCTATGTAATCCAAACACAAGAGATCATGGGTTTTCTTGCTTCTGGTCTTCTAGGTCAATCCAGAATTGAAAAAGTGTTTTGAAGAGCAAGGTTTGAAGTTTGTAGGCCAGGATGAGGAGGGAGAGCGCATGGAAGTGGTTGAGTTGGAAGGTGAGTACTTAAGCCATTAGTCTGTGAGTGCAGGTGTTTACAAGGGAAAGTGTTCAGAGGGTAATAGAGGAGGTGGGACCAGTCCAGGCTCTCTCAGAATGATTCCATCCATAAAATCGAAAAAAGAACCCCATGTGCCTGTCCATTTAGGGACAAAAGGCAGGATAGAAATGACACTTCTTTCCCATCATTAGGGCTTCAGCATGATCAGTGCTTTCAGCTGCACTTAAGAGACTTGACATTAATGATTTCTGTTTCTTTTTCTTAGAGCATCCTTTCTTTGTTGGCGTTCAGTATCACCCTGAATTCCTCTCGAGGCCAATTAAGCCATCCCCCCCGTACTTTGGCCTCCTCTTGGCATCTGCAGGAAGACTCACGCATTACCTACAGAAGGGCTGCAGGCTCTCGCCCAGGTAGGTTGAAAGAAGACACCAGTCAGGCTTTTCACAGGGCAGTGCTGCTTCCTACAGGATAAACTGGAGAATCCTCTTGGCACAGAGTTACTGCGAGGTAACCAGGGGGTATTTGCTGCACCTCTTCTTCCCGCTCTTTCTTTGAGCCTTTTCTCTTGTGTTTTAAGATTGACTGTGATGCCACAGAGCTGCCCCTCAGTGAGGTCCCGACTGCAGGGGGAGCAACTGCAGCCTCGTGTTGTCAGTCCCAGGTGTTTGCAGACACTGCAGCTAAAAGGATGACTGGAGACCTCGTGGGCTTTTCCCCACGTTCCTTGTACAAGTCCTAGGTACAAGCTGGTCCTTAAGAAACTTGTTCCCTTGCTGGTTTAAAGAATGGGCTCTCGTGGTTGCAGCTTCTCTCTTTCTTTTTTTTCCCCTGCTGACTTTAAGCTTTCTTTTGTCTCAGTTTGCAAATGTTTTAGGTAGACTTCATGGCACGCTTACTTCCTTCTGCTGCTCCCTAATGCCCTGCAGTTCTGCTCAGCAGTCGTGGCAATATGCAACAAACAAACATCACTTTGATAGTGACCTGTTTTCCTCCTTCCAGAGGAGAACACAGAGGATTTGCTTGTGTAGCGGGAGTGCTAATGTGCACTAGACAAAAAAACCTCAAACTAAATGCAAAAGAGAAATAGCACTGAATGTATTAGACAAAAGCAATGCAGAAAGTATTGGCCTTTCTGGGTTGACCTGCAGTGCAGCTGCATCACAGCTGTGATGTGTCGATGTCTGGACAACAGCTGTCAGTGTGCTCTGAGGAGAGGTTCTGTGTGAAGATGCCTCATCTCAGTGTTCCAAGTGTGGAGGGACAGTTTAATTTCCTGCTTTTGCACATTTGAGTTTGAAATGGCCTCTCACAGCAGAGGAGCTGAAGTTTCCTCTCTACTGCAGCATCCTAAGTTAGTGCTATCTGCTGTTGGGGCCTTTTGTGATTGTGGTCATTCATTGTTTCATGTTTAGCATATAATCTAAAAATATTGGTGGCAGCTGTAGCCCAGCCCGTGCTTCCCTTTATTCCTGTGCCCTTGTAACACGTTACCAGGTTTCCAGGTTGGTCTCATCGTTGCACTGTCGTGGAGTTTGCAGGTGACACCAAACTGGGCGCAACACAACAGCCATACACTTGAGGATGGGATCACTGTTCAGAGGGACCTGGGCTGGAGCAGTGGGCCAACAGGAACCTGATGAGGTTCAACAAGGACAAATGCAGAGCCCTGTATCTAGGAACCCCTTGCAGTGACACAGGCTGAGACCAAGCAGCTGGGGTGGTCTTGGGGGGGCAACAAACTGAACGTGAACCATCAGGGAAGACAAACAGCATCCTGGGCTGCCTGAATAAGAGCACAGCAAGCAGACAGAGGGAAGTGATCATGTCTCTTTACTTGGCATTTGTTAGATGACATCCAGAATATTCTGTGTGGTTTGGGGTCACCCAGTACAAGTAAATGTTGATAAATTGGAGGGGCTTCAGTGGAGGGCCACTAAGACAGTCAGGAGGTTGGAGTACTTGCCCAGTGAGGAGAGGCTGAAGGAGCTGGGCTTCTTCAGCTAGAGAAGGGAAGAATTTATGGGGGACCTGAGAGCCCACCAGCACCTACAAAAATGTTCTCAAGAAGATGAAAACAGGATCTTTACCGAAGTGCCTGGTGGGAGGATGAGACACAATCAATGGACATAAAGTGAAATACGAGGGGTTCTGGCTGGATACAAGGAGAATCTTTTTCACCATTAGATCAGTCACGCGTTGGCGCAGGTTGCCCAGAAAGGCTGTGCAGTCACTGCTCTTGGAGGATTTCAGGATGTGACTGGAGAGAGCCCTGAGCAGCCGTGTCTGATCCCTGCGGTGTGATGGTCCTCAGGTCCTTTCTTGTCCAAATGATTTGTGATTCTGAAAGAGCTCTTTAATGGATTAAAGGCAATCAGCTGTTACTGGGAGGCTGAAATAGAATTATGCGTGGTTAACCGGTATCCTACTTCCTATTTATTGACTTTCCTTTAGAATAATTTACTTTATAAATCGCCCATTATACGTACCATCATTTTAATTCACAGACCTTAAAACTGATGATGACTCAGCCCTGTGTCCAAAGGGACAGCTACACTAGGAATTTTGTGTGCTTTGCTTTTCAGCCTCAGCCAGCAGTGCTTCCTACCAAACCCTGCTAATTCCTGATTGATGCAAAACTAGTTCTGTGAAGTACTTGAGCTCTGTAATCCGAAATCTTTCTGAACCCTGCAGGGACACCTACAGCGACAGAAGTGGCAGCAGCTCGCCTGACTTGGAGATAACGGAGCTGAAGTTTCCATCAGTAAATCATGACTGATTCCTGGTAACTTTTAATGACCTCAGTCTCTTTCCTTATGGAAAAAATTCTTTGCCCAGTCTTTCCTCCTGGCATCTGAATGTTTCACATCAGTTGGTAGAAAACTGGCACACCACGAAAAGCGCTGGCGCTCGCACGCGTGTTCCAGCTGTGCTGAGGGATGCATTAGGCCTCACGTCTGTGTAACAGGTGTGGGGGGTACTTCCTGTGCAAATTAACACACAATGAAGTGTAAAAATACACGGGGAGTTTGAGATTAAATTCAAATAAAGCAACAAAGCACAAATACGGCACGCATTCCTGGAAATGGAGGCAAAACTGAGCAAGGGGTTACTGGATTTAGAAAGTTTGGTGTTTTGGGAGCAATCTCTCACCTTTGCCAAAGAACATTTTGGAAATAGCCACTCTCTCCTGTCTCTTGAGACAGCAAATTTCTCTGTCAAACCAGTGGACTTCAGCTCTGAATTGTAGTAACTGCTGCAGATGTTGTGAGGATGCGAAAACTGGATGTGTGTCATCCAGTCGTGGAGGCACTAAACCCTAGCGTTCCAACTCCACCTGCACGAAAGGTCGGAGTTCTCCCTCACAGTAGGTGATCCGGATGTAGCACTTCTTCCCACTGCTCTGGCTGGTGTGGTGTTCTTGGAGAAGTTAAGCAGTGTTTGTGCACACACGTGTCGAGTGAGAGCAGGGGTTTATTGCTCAGTGCCAGGGGACCAAGGATGTGCAGCTCTTCCCTCTTCCCCTTTCCTTCATAACACGGATGCTTCCAAAATTAACTGCGGAGTGAAAATGAGGGTTAGCCTGAGCCTAGCACAGAAGTACCTCCCCATCCCTGGGCACGGGACAGGGCCTTTGCAGTGCTGAAGATAGCTGGGGTGGCCAGGTGTTAGGCTGTTCCCACATCTGGTACAGCAGCAAATTCAAAGTTCTCTGTGAATTTTTATCCTCCTGAAGATATCCTGAAACTTCGGCTTGCTGGCCGTACCCGGTGTGCTGCCTCATGTCACAAGTCTGGGTGCTGCATAGACACCTGCAGCTTGGAGACTTGTCCCCAAAGGAGGAAACTG